TTTTTCACATCTAGATATTGAACTAGAACGTTAATATTAAAATGTTGCCAAATTGCAGGCAAGTTTAAAATATATATTATTGTGAGAAGAGTATATATTAATTAATTTTTATGTGTAACATCACATCTATTATTTGGCAATAACCTAAACAGGAATTTATTTACATTTACTACTATATTTTTCTAGAACTATATGACTATACATATCACTATACATATAGTACTGGTCTGCCCATCTCTAGTAAGGCTTCAGTAATTGCATTTAAATCAGCTGATGATGCCTCTCCTTGAAGCTTTTGTACTTGAATTCCATTATGTTTCTTAAACCTATGGAGCCTAGTGTTCCATGTTGCAACCCAAAAAAGGAAACAAAGTGGTTGTAAAGGTGGTTGCAATCATTTTTATATGATGCAAAGATGATAGCAACCATCATCAAAAGTTGCAGCCAGTATTATAACAAGTTTTGTGCATTTAATATAGGATCAGAGATTAAAATACAACATACACAAGAGCCATGTTTGTATAAAACACTTACACACAGTGTTGGGTTATATCACATTTTCTTGATGACCAATGGTCATGTGGTCATTTGGTCATTTGGTCATAAGGTCATAAATTTTGACCAATAGAAATTCGTAATTGAAATTTTTTAAAAAAAAATTTTTTTGTTATAAATAAATATGTAAATATGTCAAATAAAAAGAAAAGTCACAATTTTTGAGAATTTTTTGTCCTTGTTAAGAGTGATACAAATAATCAAATGCAAAGGTAGTTTGCATTTGTTGTATGCAAAGGGTTGGAGGTTTAGCTATTGCACAAGTAACATCAGGATGTTTTACTTCAAATAAAGCAAGCTTTGTCACAATCATCTTGCTAATTGTGAAAATTTTAAGTTAACTTATACCAAAGAAGAAGTAGAAAGAATCTTATCATGTTCTGTACCTGGAGACTTAAAAAATAATGGTAAAGATTTTTCTTTCAAGTAAAATATTAAATTTTTTGATTTTGATTATATAATTTAATCCATTTTTTAGATGATTCTAATGAAGACAATGACCAAAAAAAAATTCCAATTCATTATCTTCTTCTTTTACCACTACTGATTCTATGAAATGACAACAATCCATTACTAATTATTTTGCTTAACCATTTTCAACAAATAACAAAGCAAAGTTTGAACAATTATTACTTCATATGATAATTTCAAATAACTTATCCTTTACTTTACTAGAAAATCAAGAAACCAAATCATTGTTTGAATTTCTTTCTCTTGGGCTGTATCTTCCAACTCAAAGAATTATAAGTGAAAGAGTATTAAGGTCCTATCAATGGCAAGAGTACAAAGTGATATCCAAATGAAAAAATCTTTAATCAATGAAAACCAAAAAGAAACTCATAAACTTCATTTATCAGCACCAATAGTTAATAATTGTGAAATCTATGAATCCAATGATGATAATATTAGAGAGGTTTGTGATTATAGTGAATATAATAGTAGCACTGGAATAGATTCCACATCAGAAGAAATAGATATTCAATCAGATGATGATGACAAAATTGAAGTTACAAGAGAAGGAGAACGTTGGAATTCTATCATAAATGAATGGATAATAATGGTTCAACAAGAAAATCAATTTCATAATGATGATGATGAATACATGTATTCTTCAGAATTGGAAATAGGGTTTGAATTAGGTGGAAGAAGAGTACATCCTGCAGAAGACAATTTGATGAAATGGTCATTAGAATCCCTTTTTATTGATGAATTGGAGTCACCAACTTTTCTGGGTAGTGATGTTATTTTTACTGGTGCTTGTTGAATTCCAAAACATTCTATTAGTTTAGAAAAGATATAAATATATTTTTTTTTCTTTAGAACTTTTAAATAAAAATATTTCCATTTTTGATCTGTGCCAATCATGTTGCTTAATTTTATATGACCTTGTGCTAGGTCATTGAATTGGATAGAATGACCAAATGACTTATGACCAGTCATCAAAGTCATATGTCATATGACTGGTCATTTGCCAACACTGCTTACACATGATATAAAAAGATTTTGAGTCCTCACCTCAAATGCAACAAGAATTTGACAACGGGCTTTATCATTATCTTAATAAAATAAAATTAAAATTAAAAAAATCCAAGCATCATAAGTGGCAGAATAAGTTTCAAGCTTTCTTTTGGTACTATTTTTATGACTGTAGCTAAAAATTGGCAGTTTAGATAGATTTTGAAATTTCATAATAAAAAAGTTCTTTTTGTTAGGATCTACATGAAAAATCTTTACATACAGGCACCCCAGCATAATATGGATATTTGAACAATAATAATGGGTAGTCTTGATATTAAAAAAAATAAGAAAGATCATTATTTAAATCGGTATTGGATATGTCAAGAAAAAAAATAATTGAATAGATCAAAAGATTTCAACATGTAATAATAAATGAAAAATAACACAATTAAAATATTAAAAAAAATCCAAATTTTGCTTAGCACAGAGCAGAACACTTAGTCTAAGGTTTCTGGTCCAAACTGTTTTCTCAAAGTCCAAACTAGTTTGGGCAATTTGGGCTTCTCAACATTTTCTATAAGCATGAACATTAAAAAATTATATGAATCAACTTGTTTTAACTTAAACAACTTTAAAATAATTTCGCCCAATTTCAGCTAATAACAAAAAGTAGTTTGGGCTTATAAAAAAATAATTTTTGCCCAAAGTATTTGGGCAATTTCGGCTACTAATAGAAGCAGTTTCGACCAGAAGCCTTAATCCCAACACAGAAAATACTCTTTCACATGCCCCATTATGAGGAACAATGGAATGTAATTTTAAAGCAAGTGCTCTAATGCAATCCTCATTTTTTTAAGTTCCAAAGAGGCCCACCAATTTATAGGTGTATTAATACCATCTAAATAGATTTCATTGAATGGCTCTTCAAAATTTCTATATAGACTTAGCTGTACTAACAAAAGATCAGAGCTTGTTTTACCACCACCTTGATTTTTCCAAATTCTAAGTGCAATTTTTGATGCATTTCTAAAAATATTATATTGAAAGCAAGATGCTATGTAAATAAAAAGAATATGTTTCTATTTTCCACACCCATATCTTATATAACGATCTGCAAAAATATTTCCATGCCCACATCACGTGATAAACTTTTTTGTTTGTTTTTGAAAAGATTTGATTATAAAACTTTTCTCACATAAAGCATTTATGGAGTTTTGAAACGATTTCGAAGTTTTAAAATAGTTTTGGAGTTTAAAACAGTTACAGAGTTTTTATTTGAGTAAAAGTTCAATCATTTGATGTAAATGAATACTAAAACACGCCCGTTTTTATTGTTATCTGTTATTATTATTAAATTATATGAACATAAAAACCTTTATATATGAAAATTCTTACTCATTTCTACATCTCCAAGAGTAAACCTTTTTTTTCGACATTGTTTTTTTTTAAAAAAAAAAGTATATATAGATATGTTCTTTGACATTTGTTTTGTAATGCTTTGTATAAAAAAATGATACAGTCAAAGCTCTCTATAACGAACCCCCCTGGACCGAGAATTTTGGTTCGTTATAGAGAGCGTTCACTATATTAATATATAAAGAATTGTCGATCATCTCATTATGGTCACGTGAACATATTATGAATAAACGAGTCATTAAGTTTCGCATTCATTCATAAAATAAAAACGATCCTTTTTGAAAATAAAATAGAAAAATTAAGTTTTATTCATATAATTATCAATTTTTAATTGTTCTTTTGAATTAAATATATTTTTGACTTTTCTTTTATTAATCTCAATTCATTGTCAGTTAATTGTGACTTGTCTATTTGTTGTTCAAAGTATAATTTTGATTTTTTCTATCGACAACAAAGCATTTTTATGTAATACAGGTGAAGAAGAAAGAATTATTTCAGGCATATTATTATTAATATCATTGTTATCACTATTATTATTAGGAAACAATGTTGAAACAATTTCTCCATTTTATTTGACAAAAGTGATGTGTATGTGTAAATAATCAATTAGCAAACAATTATATTTAACATATAATTTGTTGGCCAGTCTTGTCTCTGTCAATAATAACAACAATAACAAATAATAATAGTAAAAAGAAGAAGAATAATAAATTTTAAAAATTTTTTTTTCAATAATAAACAAGTTTATGTTACACGGGTCCGTTATAGAGAGCATTATTAATTATATAAATTTGTATTTGGTTTCCAAAGACAGTTCGTTATACAGAATAGAGAATTTAACTATAAAGTTCGTTATATAGAGCAAATTTCATTAATAAAAAATCGGGACCAAAATCTTAGTTCGTTATAGAGAGCAGTTCGCTTCTCGGAGGTTCGTTATAGGGAGCTTTGATCGTACTAAGTTGTCGATTAGTAAAATTTGTGCATTTTTCCTCCATCAATCCTTATTTAGAGTTCACCGATTTCATAGACAGATCATCAATTGATTGATTACACATCTAAATCATAGATTATGTATAATTAAATTCGATCCCAAAAATCTCCTTCTGAATCAATCGCGTCAATGATTAACTAATCATAATAAAAAATTTATCGCATAGTTGCAAATAGGCGACACGATTCCAGCTTTTTTAACAATACATTATTTTAAATCGCTTTTTTAATGGTATATATATATAAAATAAAATGACTTTTAGATTGGTTGGTTAATAGACACAATTTTCTCGCATTTTTCAATTAATTAGTGAATAAGACCGATAGTATGTAAGTTAACATCATGTAACAAGTTTTCTTTAACTGAAAAATGATATAAAGGAAAGTTAAAAATTTTTATATTTGTCCTTTGTACTATTATCATTATCAAAAAGTAACAAGACTCAAAAGAACAAAATCTCTTATTTATTTTTTTCGTATTACTACTACTAAAGCCATGCCAAACTTCTTGTAGCACGGCAGCTGGTTTAAATTCAGGTGAATATATTCATATATGACTTATATTTATTTATATCTATTAATACTGTTACTATTGTAGGGACATCAACTGACTTTGGCATGCAACATTGCTCATGACTGCCTGCGTATGCTGTTTCTTGACGCCAGTCCCTTGAGAATTTAAAATAATGTTTTTGGAAAAAATCTTTTTTAATTATTTTTATTTTTAAATTATTATGGTGAAATCGCGTTGTTTTTTTAAATTTGTATTATAAATTGTAATGAATTGATTGATATCAAACTTTATTTTATCCGAGATTAATTAAAAGATTTTCAATGTTCTAAATATAAAATAAAGTACCATTACTATATCATTTTTATTAGCAATGATAAAATATTGAAATTTAAAGTGACTTTTGAATTGTTTAAGCTTTATTTTCAACTCGATATGTGAAGTTAGCATACAATAAAATACTCTTGTCGTAAAAAGAAAGGTGATCAAAACATACACTGTTAATAATAAATAACCTATTAATTCTCAAAATAATCAATTGTAAATATTTGAACCTGAACATGGAAATATTATTCAGCGCATTAATGATGATAACAGTAAAAATTATGTAGGTAATGATGGTAACAACAATCACGAGGAACTTTAATTAAATTTTCCATATCGTGTTGTTGAAACATAAAATACATCATTTTTCACCACTAACTACTTTTTTAATTAGTAATAGCAGGTTACATCATTTTTAAAGAGACTTTTTTGATATATGAAGTTAGCATCTTATTTAAAAAAAACAATACAAAAGAAGAGTAATCGAAGTTTACTTTTAAAATTTTACATTTACCTAAAGTAAAAAATCCTAGAAAAATAATAATTTTCAAAAAAAAAATCATGATTCAAAAAACTTCAACAGGACAAATTATTTTGGTTTTTATTGTTTTATTTTTTGTTATCGCTACTACAGAAGCCGGACCTTTGGCATATGGCTGTTGTCAGACTGCTTGTAATCTTGCATGGGTCAGTTGCTACGCGGCCTCTGGCCTTACGGCAGGTAAATACTTTATGCACAACTTGAATTTGTTCGTTTATTTATGAAATTATTGTTATAATTGTAGGGACATTAACCGGAGGTGCAGCATTACCGGAGGCAGCTTTGGCATGTAATGTTTGTCAAGGAGTGTGCATGACTGTCTGCGCAAGCTGCTTTTTGGCACCAACCCCATGAAAAAAAAAATTTTTTTTATAAATGAAATTTTTTATGAATATTTTTTTTATTGTGTAAAATCACGTCGGTCAAAAGTTGACTGCATTGTGTTATCTATATTATTTATATATATACAAAAATTTTTTTTTTAATTTCAAATCAATTACTTTTAATACTATTTTTTTAATCGTAAAATACATCCTTTTTCAAAACAGCGAGATAAAAAATTTAACAACGCGATATTGAATTTAAAGCGACCTTTGAATTGTTCAAGTTTATTCAGGGACCTTTTACTGTAAATTTTTGAATGAAAATTGCTCCGAGTTGGTGAATTAAAAAAACTTTGTGTTCTGTCAATGCGGCAATACAGTTTCGGCTAAAAGTAATTATAATAATATGACCGAGTAGTTTTACTTAAATACAGTATTTTTTTCATTGTCAGCTACATCATTCTTTTATTTTCAACTATCATGCCAATTTTAATCACAAAATTACATGTTAAATAACGTGATTTGGAATTAAAAAAAAATTAAAAAAAAATATTTAGAAGTTCTCAAGTGTCTCAAGGGACTGGTGCCAACAACCAGAATGCACATATAGTCATGCATGTTCCTTGAATTGTATTGCATGCCAAAGCCACAAATGGCATTCCCACACCTGCTGTTACTGTCCCTACAATAATTACAAT